GTCTGAGTTTTTTTTTAAATCTTTATTGACATAACACAGTCTCTTAAAGATAGTATTTTCTAATTATTAACTACTTGGATATCTATTCATTTTGATGGACTAACATGACAATTATTTTCAGAACTGATTATTTCCTATTTTAAGACAATACATCTGTTTGAAGGGCTACCATCCCCCAAAGGGCATCTCTAGGGGTTGGGATCAAAAACAAATATGGTAGTCACACTATGTGATTGTAGCCTCATCTTTTTCATGCCTAAAAAGACTGGAGTTTTGATTACACAATCTCGCTTTTGTCTTTATGTTTTTGATAGACACATCCCGAAGTGGTCTCTGTTTTATTCCATCCTTCAGTCCTCTTTTTAAAATCTCTTATTCCTCTGTAAAGGCTACTGAGTTAAAACAAGACACTACTGTTCTGTAGTGGTCCTATACTTATTGAGTGTCTTGTGATCTGATAAGGAAAGGATAAGGAAGGATTGCACAGGGGAAGATTTCATGCCAATAAATTAGAAACTATTGTAATAAGGACTTCCGGTTTTGCGCCTGCAGTGCAAGGCCACACAAGAGCGGACCTCCACTCCCCACGGCTAGTTTCTTCCTGCTTGGGGACCCTAGATGGGTCTGAAGTTGCCCTGGAGAAGTGACCTTGAAGGAGGGATGCCCTGTTGTTCACGAAGCGATGGCAATTGCTTTGTTTGATCTGGAGAAAGCCTTCCGAACCTGACAGGAGAAAGGCTAGCATGAGATCAGCATCTAGCCCAAGCTGCTTGCAGCTGAAGTCCCAGAGCATGAATCTAAACATCGGTGAACAGCGTGCTTGGAATTGGTGAGAGTACTGATCTTCTTTCTTCTATCTACTATATAAATTCTTGAAAAGATCCCCAAAGCAATAAAACCTCCAAAAGTGAAGGGAGAGGACTATATCCCCGTTCCCTTACAGATGGAAGCAGTGAATTAATATTAAAGGAGGGAAGACATACATTAAAATTTGATTTAAAATACTTCAGTCTGAACAAATTTAGGAACTAAAAATCTGTCAAGATTATACCCTAATTTTTTTTTTGATGGAATTATAAAAATATATAACAAAAATATTTTTTTATTGAAAGAAAAACTGAAAAAAGAAATAACTGCTGACATCTAGTGGAGACATAGAGAATAGAACACTAACAATAAGAACTCAGAAATTGGCAGAGTGACTAGAAACAAAGAAAAAGTTCTTCCTTTGAATTGCAAATAACCTTGAAGACAGCTGGGAAAAAGGAAGAGCTAGCTATAAGATTAAAAAGTGTTTGAAAGAAAAAAAAACACCTGGACTGTTGCTTAAATCTAAGAACTGTTTATGGAAAAGAAAAACCTTGGCTTTTTGGCTAATCTTTTAGAGGAGAATCTGTAGGAAGGATTTAAAGTGGCTTAACATACTGAATTGTAATTTTGACTGATTGATAAACTGACTTTTGAATTAAAATATTGATGAAAGATTATTTGAAGGGGGGAGACATGGATATCATATACGTATCAAAAAATGACAGGATGCCACATTCAGTATTTTCTCCTGAAAGATGTAGCCTGGAAAATCAAGGGCCTCCAGAAGCAATACTTCAAGGCAAGATAAATACTTTCCAGGAGGAAATATATGTAATGTTAGGACAAATACAAATGACAATAGACTCGAACCACGAGGAAATCCGAAACAACTTTGATGATTTAAATAAGCATATTTCCAATCTAAATTTACAATTAAAAAACACCCAGGAAATAACAACAAAGGCACAAATAAATCAGACAGCAGACTACAAATTAGAAGAGTATGATCAAATTGATGAAACAACAAAGGAAAAGAATTACAATTTGACACAAACAGGAAAAAATCTTCAAGGTTCTGATACAACAAGAAAAATGGAATTATCAGGAGAACCATCAAAGTTTGGGAGACAGAAAGTATTTATCTTACTTACTTCATCTTTTGTATTTCTCTCTAATCTGCATTGTATTTCTTTTCTCTTGATGGTTGATCTTAAAAGGCAGATGTTCTCTACCAGAATTCAGTATCTTCATTGTCAATTCTTAGGCTGGTTACTATACCTGTTCTTTTTAGTCTGGATTGTCTTTATATTTAAACTTAGTCCCATTTTTTTTCACTGTGCACCTTGACTTTCATTCTTCATCTTGCAGCTCATTTGCATTTACAGCTATCAGAGTACCCCACTGCATGAGGACACCATTGCAGATACCATAGTACAGCTTCTACCTACTAAACAACAACAGCAGACAAAATATAGGCATAGCATAATACCTTTGTCTTCTGACCCTTTCTAGTTGTTAGATACATTCTCTAGCTCCAGGGGCCTCACTTCCGAATCCAGAACAGACCTTCTTGCCAAAATTAATACTCTCTCACAGGCACATTTCAGCTAATCAGGAAAAGTGTTGTATGTATTAATAGGTCCCTGACACCCTTAGTCTCAACATCTCTGTGACAAAGTCCCTCACTACTGTGTTTCCAGAAAGCAGGTCAGCAAGCCTCCTTTCCCCTCCCCTCAGCTGAAGCTTCATAGTTCATCCCAAGCTCCAGCAGGTCATCAGTGAAAGCAATATTATGCTACTGCAAATTTCCCTTACTTGCAGTTTTCAGCATTCTAAACTTGGCATGACTTGTGGAATTATTTAAAAGGCATCAGATTGGGGAAACTTGTTCTGGAATGAGAGCAAAGGGAGACAACCTTATAATTCTTTGCCAGTGAAGAAATAAACACATGAATGTTTTATGGTATTCTTTGGATAGCTTCAGAGAGAAATGGGCTTGGAGATAAAAATAGAAACGTGTGTTTTGAGAACAAAAATGAATCCTTCATAGATTTGAAAATGAAGATCCCAAAGAGTAGCTTTTCAAATATTGCCCTGAGACAATGTTTACTTAGGAAACAAAACGGCCATTATTTAAATCTTTTAAGTAATCTACCTGCTTATTGCAGTTTTAAGTTTGGAAGTAAGCAGTACCTCTTTAGGAACTTGTTTATACTGTGTTTGTACTGCCTGTCTTGGATTTAATTTATTTTGGTGGTTTAGGTGGTTTGGCAAAAAAACACTGTCCATTTTGACAAATTATTTCCACTCTTGTCATTCAGCATTTCATTTACTCAGCAACAGATACTTACAATGAAATAGGATGTATAATGCTGAAATTGAGTTGACAATATTTTATTTTAAAATTTTGGGAAAGGGAGAAGGTACAGGGCAGACAATATCCTTTCTGAATAAGTGGGATATATTTCAATGACAGCAGGTAGGAACACAGAAGATCTGTTATGTCTATATACTGTAAGATGACATAACCTATGATGGGGAATTAATTGTTACATAAATTTAAGTGAGATATGTAATATGAATAAGATAAAATAAATCTGAGTGATGAGCATTCAAGGTGATTTCTACAGGCAGCCCATAACTTACGACCACAACTGAGCCCAAAATTTCTGTTGCTAAATTAGACAGTTGTTAAATGAGTTTTGCCCCATTTTATAACTTTCTTGCCACATTTGTTAAGTAAATCCTGCAGGTGTTAAGTGAATCTGGTTTCCTCATTTGCTTGTCAGAAGGTTGTAAAAGGTGGGTCACCTGACCATGGGACACTACAATCGTCATACATACGAGTCCATTGCCAAGCATCTGAATTTTGATCACATGACCATGGGGATGTTACAATGGTCGTAAGTGTGAAAAACGGTCATAGGTCACTTTTTTAGTGCCATTATAACTTCGAATGATCACCAAATGAAGTGTTGTAAGTTGAAGACTACCTGTATTTCTTCTTAATCCCAATATCTATAATATGCTTATAGTAATGACATACTTTTTAGGTCAATTATAAGTGTAACAGTAATTTCAACTGTCCAAGCAGCTACTGTAACATGTGGCTTCATCAACTGATATTCAGAAGTGATAGCATATTCATATTCACTCTCTAACTCCCATATATGTGGGAAATGGGCTATTGCCTACATATTGACTTCTGGTATGCTCACAAGTCTGATTCCAAGTTTTTCTATATTCAGCTAAAATGTACAGGTAGTCCTCGACTTACAACAGTTCATTTAGTGACCATTCAAAGTTACAATGGCACTGAAAAAATGACTTATGACCATTTTTTCACAGTTACAAACTTTGAAGCATCCCTATGATCATGGGATCAAAATTCAGATGCTTGGCAACTGGTTCATACTTATGACCATTACTGTGTCCCGAGGTCATGTGATCTTCTTTTGTGGCCATCTGACGAAGTCAATGGGGAAGCCAGATTCATTTAACGACCAAATTACTAACTTATCAACTGCAGTGATTCATTTAACAAATGTGGCAAGAATGGTCATAAAATGGGACAAAAGTCACTTAACAAATGTCTCATTTAACAACAGAAATGTTGGGCTCAATTGTGGTCATAAATCAAGGACTACCTGTAGTATATGTTCAAGAAGAAAGTTGTAACAAAATTGTATATATTCACTGCAGCTCTCTTTCAATTACTCAGTTGTTATAATATATTGATACATTCCAGATCACTGCCATTTGTCTTGACTCCTTTGCTTTAACTCCAGATTGATCAAGAAAAAGCAACTTCTACAGCAGTACATTCATAACATGTTGAAAAGGAATCACTGATTTGAAAACAGCATGCCGTACATAATGGACAAATCTTGGTATAAGCTTAAAGTTGCAAACATGTTAATTACTTGCTTTGCTACACAGTTATTACTATGAACCTCAAATGTCAGTGTCTTGGAATGTATCAGTTGGAAACCATGTTCAGAAACACGTCTACACGTCGAGTGTTTGGTTTTATGAACCACAGATGTGCAGGCCTCTCCACGGTGGTTCTCGGGGCTTCATGTACAGTTTATTTCCTTTTCCTTGTTCCTTCCTAATGCAGGAAATCCTGAAGGAGTACCAAGAAGGAAAGAGTGGTGAGAGAATGAAGAAGCCAACCGAGCAGGAGAAGCATGAGGTGGCAGCGTGGCTCTCGATTTAATGGTCTCCGTCTGATGGTCCCATGGTTGTCATCAGTCTTGGTCCTGATTCTGGGATTCTCGGGCCTGACTACAGCTGTTGCAACGCCACATGAACAGCATGTCTCAACTGCTTTCTCCAGCCAAGTGCCATTGGACTGGCTGCTTACTGATCGAGGACCATTCCACCGAGCCCCAGACTACGTTGACTTTATAGACCGCTATCGTCAGGGTTTCACCACTAGATACAGGATCTACCGGTAAGCTATGCAGACAAAACAAAATTTTTCACAAACTATAACACCTTCTAATATTCTTTATCTCAAGCTTTCGTAGAATAGCGATGTAAAACAGTATAGATTATAGTATAATATTCTGTATTCTGCATTGGCGTATGCCAGGCTTTTATATCTATAAGGACCTGTAATAAGAGACAGTGTGTGGTAGCTGCTAGCTCAAGTGGCATATTTGGAACATTCCTTAAAGGTGGAACAGTAGAAGGCAATCAGATAAAGCCCCTGGATACCAATTCAATAGGAAGATCTTCTGTAGAAGGTGAAAAAAAAAAAAGCCATGATCATGATATCATGCTGCCTCTCTTTTTTCACCAGCCTTTCCCAATCTGGCACTTTCCAAAAGTGTTGGAACTGAGATTCCTGGTTAGTATGACAACTTCAGTAGAGCCTGAACAGTAATTCTTCATTGACTGAGATTGTGGGAGGACAGCAACTTGTTAGTTATTCAACTAAAGATGAAAGATATCTGATGCTATCTAACGTGGAGTATAGTAGACAGACTATTAATCCTCTCCTGAATATTTCTTGCCATCATATTTGCTTTGCAAGGTTTAATCCACTTCATTCAAATTCAGCAACAATTTATGAGGAGAATGAATAGAATGATAATGCCATTGGCCAACCTTCTCCAATCTCTGCCTTGTAAATATTGTAGGTTATAGCTTTTACTGTTCCCAGCCATGCTGACTGGGGATGTTGGTTAACTGTAGTCCCCAAATCCAGGATAGAATGGAATTTCTCTTCTAGAATGTCTGACACTGTGTTTTTAACCATTCTAAGATTATCCTGGATGTATCTTAATTTGATATTGATGGATGTAAGTAACAGGATGGATCAATCTAACCCAGTGGTGGCGAACCTATGGCACGGGTGCCAGAGGCGGCACTCAGAGCCCTCTCTGTGGGCACGCGCGCCGTTGCCCCAGTCCTAGGCCTTCAGCTGGGTTTTATAAAACCTTTTCACTTTAGGCCTCCGCCGCCGTGTACAAAAAAAAAAAAGGTTCAATCAATCAGTCAATTTCAACTTCTCGCGGGGAAAAAAAAGATCTTGCAAAGTTGGAATTGATTGATTGAACTTTTTAGTCCCACCCAGTCTGCTGTTACCACCACAGCCACACCCACCCAATGGGCTACACCCACCCAATGGGCCACACCCACCCGGCACCCGACGATGCATAAATGGGTTTTGGGTTGCAGTTTGGGCACTCGGTCTCTAAAAGGTTTGCCATCACTGATCTAACCAAATTAAGTTAGGTGGCCCAACAGCCAACAAAAGATTATTCAGTCATCTGCCTGATAATTGATACCTACTGTATGTTGAAAAGAAGTAGCATTTGTTCAATAGACCTTTGTCATCTATAAATCTGATTTACATTTTTGACTGACAGTTGATTTTTTTCATGTCTGCAAAGAAGCATTTCCAAACATTTAAAACAGGGACTGCTTCCAAATCCGCTTGTGTTCTTCCCATACCACAGCAACAAAATAGGAAAAAGAAAAGATTGTTATACATATGCCACTCATATAGCACACTGTTCTGTCTAAGGATGACTGTTCTGGCTGAAAGAACAGTCTAGAAAGAGTACAGAGAAGAGCGACAAAGATGATTAGGGGACTGGAGGCTAAAACATATAAGGAACAGTTGTTGGAATTGGGTATGTCTAGTTTAATGAAGAGAAGGATGAGGGGTGACATGATAGCAGTGTTCCAATATCTTAGGGGTTCACACAAAGAAGAGGGAGTCAAGCTATTCTCCAAAGCACCTGAAGGCAGGACAAGAAGCAACGGGTGGAAACTAATCAAGGAGAGAAGCAACCTAGAACTAAGGAGAAAGTTCCTGACAGTTAGAACAATTAACCAGTGTAACAACCTGCCTCCAGAAGTGGTGAATGCTCCAACACTGGAAGTTTTTAAGAAGAAACTGGACAGCCATTTGTCTGAAATGGTATAGGGTTTTCTGCCTGAAGAGAGGGTTGGACTAGATGACCTCCAAGGTCCCTTCCAACTTTTTTTATAATAATAATAATTATTATTATTAGATAATGGGAATTTGTCTGACACTAACATAGTGTTTCTCAAACTTGGCAAGTTTAAGACATGTAGATTTCAACTCCTAGAAGTCCCTGGCCAGCATGGGGAATTTTAGGAGTTGAAGTCCACACATCTTAAACTTGCTAAGTCTTACTTCAAGGACACAAGATATTCCAATATGAGCATTCATATTCTTCTATAAGATCAGAGGCCATCTATTTCAAGGGGTTACAGTATCATGAAACTTTGCATGCACACACATTAAGCTTTCTTCATAATCCATACTTTGGGAACCACTGCTACAAAAGGCAAAAGGGGACAATATTAGAAATTTTTTTAAAAAGCAAAATGCATTTTTGCAGAACTTGTTTAACTCCTAATATCAATAGTGTCTGCCAATACTAAATTGGTGTAAGTAAGGAGCGTTTGGAATCTAGCTTGATTTTTATAAGTCAATATAAAGGGACTCCTTTGAATAGAACAATAAACTTAACAATAAATCAGTGTAGTAGATAGTTGAATAGTCTTGTGAAAGCAAATGAGCAAAGCCTATTCTATGGGGCAGGATTACTGCTTGTGTTGTACTATTTTTAATATGTCGTGGCTATTTGTATGTTTGCTCACTGGCTTTCTGACTTTGGCAAGCTGCAACAAAGCTGTCAGGCATCAAATTAGATTGGAAAAACTACCATTTAAAATTGGCAATTCCTTGGCTTCCTCAAAATCATCTCCCTCCAAGAAGAGTTCTTAAAGTTACTCATTACTTCTGTGCTACACATAGCATCATTGTGAACTGTTTAGTCCTGTGTTATGCTTTGGATTTAATCCCCAAAAGGTGTTTCAAAAGGTAGGATTGGTGTGCAACTTCTTAAAACAGCTTTGTTTTTATTCAGGGAAAAAAATAACACCTGTAACACCTTTTAGATGCACAGCTCTATTAAATGAGATGTTTTCCCCCCACTTTGTTAGCATTTCCATCCAGCCCTTAAAATGCATTGAGAGTAGAAAAAATGATTCAAATGCAAATTGATATGTGACCGTTTCTGCTTGCCAAACCTTCCTGGGAAGAGAGAAACTGCTTAAGTTAATTACAATATTATATACAGTTTAGAAACAAATGGCTTAACTAAAGCTGCATGTGACATCTGTCCTGAAAAGTGCTTCCAGGGACAAGCAGAGCAACTAGAAAGGTTTGCAGGCAAGGCAAGCTGGAGCCAATTACCTTTTCTGCTCTCCCTAGCAGTCTGTCTCCCCTTAAACAACTAATTGTCCTTGCTTCCCATTCCTAGTCTGGGGATACTTAGCTAAATAATTAGATATTTCTAAGCCATGTTGGTAACCTCTGGCCTAGGCTTCATATGGCACCTGATGCCTGTTTTTGTGGCCTCTGAGCCCACTCAGACTGCAGTAATACATTATGATAGTCCAGTTCTGCATAATCTCTTGCTATTTTGAGATACAGGGTAAGTGTAATATAAATACAAGTAAGACATAAGAGAATTAAAAAAGAAAAGGACAAACAAAAACAATATAACACTCATATTCCTTCTCTCTCTAATCTGGGGAAAATAGCTTCCAAATTTTTGTCTTGCCATGTGTTTTTGACAAGGCCTAGTGCAATCTCATTGCTCCTTTCACTTTGGCTCTCCTCACTTGATACCCCCATCCCCTTATGTGCTGCCTTGGGCTACCAAATGTTTGCTCCACTCTGTGATAAATTGATATGTACCGTAAGTGGAGCTAAACTACAGATAGAGGAAATTGGCTGGCAGTTCTCTTTTCCTTTATGTTTTTCTAAAAGTCCTCCCTTTTTCTCTTGAAGTTTTGCTTACAAAAGCTGAGAATGCAGATTACTAATAATGAATAGAGCATTTTGTTTTGCTCTGATAATTTATTTAAGGGGAGGCAATATGAACTACTCTGAATGTTTTTGAGAGGGAGAGAGAGTCATATCGTTCAGCTTGAAAACATAATACACACTATGGATAAAGTTTATAGTTGTGATATACATAATGTTTATGGACAGAAAGGTCAACTACTTGCATTTAAATCCAGTGTTAGAGAATTAAAAATACAATTAATTTTCCTTATGTATAAAACAGTTAACTACAGGAGAACAGAATGGGTCTGGTAAATGTTATCTCCCAGTGGCCCTTGTGTAGCAGCTGATGAAGAACTCTAGGTCAGCTATAGAGCATGAGAGATATGATTCAGTTCATGTTATTACCAATTAGGAAGCAAGATGAAGAAAATCTATAATGCATGATAGCCCTGGAGGATTACTAGGATTGCTTTATAGCAGGTCAGACAAATAAAAGGAGATAATCCATATCTATAAACCATGAGAGCTGTTTACGAGAACTACCACATTCGAAACAAAATACTGTTGCACATCAATTGTTTTCATTGTCCTCATGATCTGGTTCTCTGTGAGCATTTGATTGGCTGTTTTGGGAACATAATCTTAATCAGATGAAACTTTTGGTTTTCCAAGTAGATAGTTTAATATTTTTATGAGAGCAACTGCCTATCAGAGTAAACAACAGATGGAACAGTGTCCTGACTTGTTTTAAGGCAGTTCCATGTGTTCCATATATATATTCAACACAGTAATAAAATCAGTATTCTAAATTAGACACAATCAAAACATTAGCAAAGTTAGAATAAAGCTGTAAGCAGAACCAGTGTCAGTTTTGCCATAATCCTATATCATGCCTTCAGAATGTGGATTAGCTATATAGGAAACTTTCCAGTTTATTTTGTTTATAGCTGCATGTCTTGTAAATATAGAGACAAAATTCCGATCTGAAAGATACAACATGGCTATAATTGGCTACTTGAGATTGGAGAGAAAGAGAGAAACTGGAGCAAAAAACTCTGTTTTACTTGCGATAATTGTATGCCACTCATTTCTAAAGGCTCTGAGCAACTAAC